TGAGCGGCATCCTGTTAGGGGTTTTGGGCTTTTTGGGCTTATTCCCTGGGGTAGGGAGGACAGCTACGTAGGACTTAATTTATTTTTGGGGGCTTTCATTCCCAGAGACAGTTGTAAGCACTGGGTAACTCCCTGGAGGAAGCTTGCCCTTTTTAACACAAGGGGGGGGGTTCTTCCCCCGTTGCGGGGAGGGGGTTTTTTGGCCCCCCCCCACCATGTTTTACTGGCCCCCCTTTAGGGTTCCCCCCAAAAAAAAAAAACCGGGGTAAAAAAAAAAAACGGTACCCGGGTTGCGGAGTTCAGGAAGGAAATTGGTTTGTTTTACAAGGTGGTTCCCAAGGGAGGAAAACCCAAACCCGGATGACAAACCCCGGGGGGGGGGGGGGCACGGGAAAATAGTCGGACGATGGCACAGGCAATGACGTAAGACAGGGCGCGGGAAAGTAGTCGGACGATGGATGTAACTCGGTGGTTCCTGGTGTGCTATTAGCTTGTTCCTCGTGTTCCTTCTTCCCAAGAACAAGGCACATTCTACCCGAAGGACAAGGAATCAACGTCGTTGTTCGACTAAAAATCGTTTTCACTTTTTTTGTTCAAAATCGTTCGGATCTCCTCTCTCAGTGTACTACCGTCCAACATCCGTATTTGACGAGGGTGTGCCCTCCATGATGTAGCCACACAAAAAAAAAAGGGCGCGTGCTACGATTCCAAAAAGAGAGCAATAAAAATAATCCAGACAGACCAACACGAAGGCCTAACAAGGAATTCCCCACAGTCAGACAATTAATTCTTCGCAGGTGACATGCTGGACAAGCGAGATTGATAAGAGGATATCGAAATACAGTCAGAGAAAGCCCGCCCCTCCTTCACGATACAATTAATTGTAGGTCAGGTCAACTTAAGGCCGCACTGGGGATCGCAGTACTTCCTCTTCAAAAAAACAGGAAACGCCTGGAAACGCCTGCATATCTCGGTTTTCCAAAGTCTAACTCCAGTACGAAACTACCATCGTAAATTAACCGTCCGCAGCGGTCGCTTGTGTACAATGTTAGTAGCTGAGGTTGTACCCCTTGCGATACACTACAGACTAGCGGTCCGCGATTTTCCAAACGATCCTTCTATCATCGAGTTCGGTGAGCTACAAGCTAGATTTTTGAAGCTGCTGTGCGGTCCAATTTTGAAACGCTTCAAGCACACCGTGAACACGAATCACCGCCTATGTGAGTGTATGGGGCCGCGAACTTCAGCGCAGCTCTTCCCTCACATATCCAGCTGGTCGCCATTGTCGATTTGAATGGCCACGGTCATGTATATGCGTGTCCGGGCCTTGAGGAAAGGGTGCTTGAAGCGTTTCAAAATTGGACCGCACAGCAGCTTCAAAAATATAGCTTGTAGCTCACCGAACTCGATGATAGAAGGATGGTTTGGAAAATCGCGGACCGCTAGTCTGTAGTGTATCGAAAGGGCTACAATCTCAGCTGCTAACATTGTCCACAAGCGACCGCTGCGGACGGTTAATTTACGATGGTAGTTTCGTACTGGAGTTAGACTTTGGAAAACCGAGATATGCAGGCGTTTCCTGGATTTTTCAGAGGAGGTACGGCGATCCCCAGGCGCCCTTAAAAATGAAGAACAATAGTCTATGGACCCTGACTCGTCTGATTTTTCCACGTTTGGTCCCACTGCTGCTGTGACCTGCGTTTCAAGGAGAGAGACAAAGAGGGGAGGCGCCGGTTCTCTCTCTCTCTCTCTCTCTCTCTCTCTCTCTCTCTCTCTCTCTCTCACACACACACACACACACACAACACACAACTTACAACGTGGCTTTCCACTGAGGAGTAATTCTGAGACGTTTGGCATTTGGCATCCAGGATCCAGGACTGTTCCCAGGAACGCTACTTTCATCTGAAGTCGCTGTGCCCATGAAATCTGTACCACACAAGTCTACTTGCAGCTCCTTGTAGAGCGGGTTGCACCGGCCCATGCCATTGCCCCCCACATGATACCTGTGTGCTCCATTCGAAAACTACGCCATGATGTCGTTCCTACCACCGTCATCATACATCATAAACTTGCAACTTGTCTAGTCTAAAGACTTCAAATAAAAATGGGATGTGTAGTCTATTCAGTGCCAGGATGCCAGGATCTCGCCGACCAGGCTCTCGCACCCGCTAACGCCGCCCCACGGCAAGGCAACCGACCGCGTGTCGAATATACGAGGCATACTTCGGCGCACCAGGACACGAAAAGACGGTACGGAACAAATAGAGCTTTCTAGCAGTAAACGAGGTGGGAGTTGTACCTGATACAGCAGCAGCATATCCAAGATATATGAACGTAGACTAGCATACATGGAACGCTTTTCCGCGGGGTGCTGCTGAAACGGTTGGCGACGTTTTGCACAGGCGGCTTAGCGTGCGAATGGTCTAACACAACATCAATACCTTGGATGCGGCCAGTAGACGAAGGGAAGTGCAATGTCCTCCGCGCTCCCTCTTTCTGCTGTCGCTCGTGTGCGCGCCCTCTCCCTCCTTCCTCTCTTCATCAATTTCACTTCGATCAGATGATGTCACTTGGCGATCAACCCGACAGTCCCGAGGACAACAGGCGCGCCAATCAGACGCACGAGCGGGGTGAGTTGCATGTGATGGCGGCGAAATTGTCCGTCCGTAGCAGTACCATTGTACTATTGTAGACTTCGTTCCACCTCCTCCATGATTTTTACAATATTATTCCTGTATGTTTAATAAACCAGCAAGCTGTCAATAGACACTGCGCCGTGTCCCCTGTGAAGGTTACATTTTACAATACAATACACGACACAACGGAGGGATTCTCCCCGATATTTTGTCGTTGACCCAGTAGAGAACTACAGGGGATGTATTGTAAAATGTAAGTTACTTATACAGATGTTTTGTACTTAGCACCAGCTGGCATCACTGCTATAAATCATCAGTGTATTGAAATAAGTCCAGTACCCAGCCGGTTTCCCTCCGCTCACTGAAAAGACTCCACCACATCCCGTTCGACTGTGGGTATATATATATCTCGAATGGGTAGTCTTTCTGTGTGTGTTTTTATTATTCCTTAATTCCATTCCGTGTACTCGTTATTATGTATACTTCGTCAATCGATAAGGTTGTGGTCGGGGAGGTTGGGAAACAAGAAAGCGAGAGCTCTGTGATGACCAGGACAAAATGCCATTTATGTATGCATATTATATGTACTCCCCAAACCTAAAAACAAACACATGAGGATACAGGCTTACCTCGTTGGGGGGAGGCCGAGGTCGCAGTAGTCTTTTCCCACTACTAAGGACTGGCAGTTCTCTTCGTCGAGATTTAGAGAGGAGAGGGTCTCAGAAGAGAGAGACAAGAGAGAGTGTGCCGCCGAAGGGGCGAGGGAGACCAAGCCCGAGGGTCTCGGATTCCCAAGCTCCACAGGTGGCGCCAAGAGGGACGCATCCATAGTCGGGTCTCTTGCTGATCAACCATCAGTAAGATCCTCCGTTCGGATCGTATCTTGGTCCTACTCTTGTATGTGCACAAACAACAATGGTTACAGCACTTCTACACCTGTCATTCACACACACCCCATAAATTTATATCGTCTCCCCGAAACCAAAAACATTCCCCAAACAACAATTAATTAATTAAATAAACACACCATCTATATTACGTTGTCACGTCATGCAGTAACTTGTTCGACGTGACAATGTACGGCTGGCTGTGTTGACTTCAGTGCTGTTTTTTGTGTGGTTCATATCGCCTGCGACGACTGACTTGCTTGGGTCTTACTTGTCGATTTGCAGTAGCTCTTGTAAACTATTCCTTTCTCTTCCGATCTCATTAGTCTATGGACGTATCGTTTATATGCATTTTTTATTCGAGCGAAGCGAGATTTCTAATCTTGCCTTGTTAATGCGACAAGAAGAGTGCTGCACTCTCTTCCCTTTGTGTACACAAGAACTACGTAGCGCTACTTACCCAGGCCAGGAACACGAGAGAAAAACTCATCACTGTGCAAGAAAAGCTCGCTTACGCTGGGAGTTCGAACCCCTGGCCCTAACCACTAGAAGGTACACTGGTGGCCAGAGGCATGTTGTGGTTAGGTTGGGGCACCAACTACAACCTGGGGGGGGGAGGTTGCGGGAGGTTGCAGCCCAAAGTGTGCACGTTATCCCGCATCTAGGATAATAGTGGCGTTATTCCAATCAACACGGCGGGCTGCAAGCCTGAAGAAAAATGGGTTTAAGGTCGAACTCGGCCTCCCAACCTCCCCCCCCAGGTTGTGGTTGGTGCCCAACCTGCCCCTCTGGCTATTCGAGGATACCAACTACATAGACTACCGGGGCGACCACAGAACAATTAAATAACATTTTAATCGCAACATGCGCATTGATAACGTCCTCTGACACCGACGCCTTTTTCGTGGTCGCAGAGTCGAAGGTACACTGAGAAGAGATCGCTTATAATCCATCAATCAATGCGACAGAGCACAGCAACAGCATCCACCTGGAGATTACGTCAGTAAGGCTCTACACAGAGATGTTGTTTTCTTACCATCTCGCATTTGATATATCGTCACCTTAGCCTTGCACCGACCTCCGGCTTGCTACATAATCTCAGAGCAAAGTGGACCGTCGTTGTCAAGTAGGCGACTCCCCGTTCCCCCTTCGCTCTTTTGCAGATGGCATGTCCTACTGTAACGCGACACCGAAGAGAGTTAGCATTGCATCACTCGATGGTTCACTCGAGAACCCTCCCCGTACAACTTTCTAGGCAAGATATCCACACATTTGCTTACAATAAAGGGGCCAACTCTCTCCGTCGTGTGTGTATGGTACAGAGCAACCACGTGGAGTACCGCTTGGAAGGCAACAAGACCCTCTCTGGACCACCGGGGGGCGATCCGTGCTACTGTTTTTTTATGGAAACAACCATTCGACGTTGAGAAGTGCCTCATACCGGGGCAAAAAGTCAAATCTGTTGGAACCGGCTTTTTTTGCGCTTGACGAGACTCGCGTCCTTCATGGCGCGAGCTTGTACAACTAAAACCTTATCCGTATCTATCTATGTCTCTCTTGCTCGAGACGAAAAAACTTCGGAAAAAACGAAAGGCTACAAATCATCTAGGGTACGTATATATGACTAGCGCTCAAGGCGAGTAAACCCCCCACTGTCGTGGTCTCGGTTACAAGGCTCACCGCACAGCAACACCAAAACGACCAATGGCAAGCTCTCCACCTTGTCCGACTTGAACAATAATGGTTCGAATCGAAAAATGGAAAAAAAAGAAGGGGGGGGAGGGGGGGACAACGAACTGAGAGCATATGTACACCGACCTGCCGGAAATGGCTTCGTGTATGACAGGCCCCTCCATAGAGGCCCTGCAAATCTGCGCGTAAACTCAAGTGCCACGAAGCACAGATGTGGATACAAAGTACGCCGCCGACAAGAACAGCAATGCACCCTCATAACACTGCCGCACAATAAATATTGCCCTGCCCATGATCCCGCACCCCAGGCGCGGGTATGCAAACTACGCCGCGTGTGAATAAACACAAAGGGTGTCGCCCCTGGACTCAAGTCGACAAAAAGCAGACGAAATCACGCGTTTAGCAACTCCTACAACGCGAGACAGGCAGAACAAGGCGTGAGCACCTGAGGATACCCGGATAGCTGCTGCCGAGTTCGTGACATGCAAGTCGCATAATAAAATATTTGGCACGCTAAGATATTGAAAGCACAGATAACACCTCAGGCACCCTCTGACAAAAGAGAGACACGAGAAGCAAAACGAGCCCCGGGCTGTCATTCAGCGCTGACTTGCAGTAGGGAGGCCTTTCTGAGAGTCAACAAGCATGACAATAAAATGATACAAGTGTCCAACCGCCCGGTACCAACGCCACCAGAGTATCAGAAGCTATTTACAACGACAACAGTTTGGGGCTAAACGTGCTACATACCAAACTAGCAGCCGGTCATGTTTATCTCTCTCGCCGCGTCAACTGACCGCTCGTACCCGGCACACTACGGCGGATTTCTCCTCCGCGTCGCTCCCAATCTCAGCAGCGATGGGGGTTTGTTTCCACCCCTTGAGCCGGGGCCATCGCACGTTCCTCAGCGCTAAACACCCAATGTCCCCGCCGAAGCTACTAAAACTTGGAAATGTTGTTGGTGTACTCCATAGTCACGGCGCTTTGCGGCACTGAGACGGGCTTGACGTTCCCCTCGTCGTCGAGACCGGTGGCGAACGGGATAGCCTCGCCCGAGTGTGGCACGAACAACCCTTCGCCGGACACCCCGTCGGGGGCACTGGTGGTGCCGGCGTGCACGAGCAGCGGTGTCCAGACGTCCGGCGAGCTGATGCAATGCGGGGTCTTCAGCATCACGCTGAGCGTGTGCTTCACCTCGATTAGGTCTGCCTGCAGGGTGAGCAGGCTGTTGCCGGGGACCAAGAGGTCGTAGTGAGTGCCGGCCCCAGCGCCGAGCTGCTCCTGTAGGTCCGCCCGCGCAGTGTCTGCTATCACGGCAGAGCTTCGCCCGCGCTGGTTCCCTTTCTCGGATGCTCGGAGCTGTGTCCCCGGAACGACGACCGCCGCAACCGTGCGAGTCTTGCTCTCTTTGTAGCCCCGGGCGAACCACGTGGACACCTGCTTGATCTCGACGTGCATGGTTTTCACCTCAGCGGAACTGTCGTTACGGGCCACGACTGTAAGCCCTACGGTTTCGTTTAGCCCCACCTCCGAGTGGTCCGCCTGGAATCCAATGCTCATGCTGGTGGGCGCGCCGGAAAAGGTACGGAGAAAACATGGGCGGAGGGGAGCATTCGGGAACACGGTCAACGAATTGTATCTGCGAGGCAAACACGGCGCACTTTTTAGTGTCTCCACAAAATGTATGCGCAACCTCTGTGCTCGTGCGATGGACTACCACAAACAACGTCGATCTCCAGATATCTACCAGGGCAGAGATAAGGGAGCCGCGTGCATCGAAAAACAGTGTATCCACATCCTGAGGCGGTACTCAGAACTCAACCGCGAAAAAAAAAGAAGGTCAGCGCCGGGCCATGTATCTCGCGGAAGTTCGTGGAGGGGGATGTCAAACCAACCTCTGTATTTTACTCAACCTCGAGTAAATTCTTGAAAAAGTATTTCAAACATACTCCACCTTTACTCAAGCCGTTGACTAGACTTAAGGATGCATATTTCAAAAATACTCAACCGTACTCAAGCGTTTGAGTAAGTATTTCAAAACTATTCAGCCGCGCTCACCGACCAAGATTGAGTACATACTCAAAATATTCTCTCAAGTACGCGCTTAGCATTGCTTTTCGAAACATAGCCTTGTTTGCACCCTATGTGACTTCCTCAAATCTCCCGTTGTGAAGATGTTGGACAGCTATATTTCCATCCGAACCCACTAAGAATTCAGCCGTCGGTTTCCGAAGTGTCAACTCAATATCTAAAAACGCGTTTGCTCCGTTCAGTGTAAAGATCACACCCCGACATCACACATACGGACATCGCCAGCTTTAACACCAAACGATAGCGAAACGGAGAACTCTCACCTCCCGCTCTTGAAGCAACAAAACTTCTTCACCGTCTGCGTAGCTGGGCCCACCAGCACAGGCGTTGCGGCGCCGGCCTCGTGTGGTTTGCTCAACACGGTCAACTTTGCTTTCCCCTTTGCGTCGAAGTGGAGCATCCCTGGTCGGTGCAGCCTCGCCTCGAAGCCATAGAAAATCTCACAGCTTCCTCCCTGGGAGCCGTTCTCCTGTGATGAAAAACATGAACGAGCGCCCCGCACGTGTCAAGGTGGCCGTATCTTGACATCAGCCACGTTTGTCTTCACTCTCATAACAAACGAAGCAAGCACTCCGGGAATCGCAACTAGATTTTACGAGACGAGGGATTGCCACGGAAATTGAGCTGTTACGACACGCACGGTGCTCTGTTGGCTGATTCCCAGTGTGCAGCTCCGTCTAGAGGTAGCAAAGGCGAGTACCACTGCAAGCACCACCAAGCAGCCATACATGTCTGCATGGAACCAGAATAGACCTATCGTCGTATGCCTAGATCACGCACAACACCCTGCCCGAGATCTCACCTCCATGGATGGCGGCAGCCCCGGGGGAAGCATCACTTGGAAAGGGAAGCTATGGCTCCCTGACGCCGCCTTCCCGCCGAAAGCCGCTAGCTGGACATCGTACGAGAGGAACTCCTTCTTCTCGGTTAGCATTTCTCGGTGGGTGTACGACTGCGCGTTGCTGTTGTTGTGGGCCATGTTCGTCGTGTCGTACATGACCCGAGTCTTGGCCACGCCATACAGTCGGAGCACGAGCTCATCCGCCGACGACCCCTCCTCGTTTTTCTAGACGTTATCAGTCATGAGGGCGGAATGTGGGCAGAGCGGCATAGTGGAATCAAGGGCGGTGTCACCACCTCACGCTTTGGCTTGATACGAAGTACACAAAACACAAAGGGGACTCCAAAGGGGAAATGAAGAATCAACAAGACAGAGAGGAGTTTAGTATACTCGTACTTCGAGGCTAATAAAACGACGAACCAAAACCGCTCCTCCTCAACACCGGTGTAGCCGGAACCAGCGTCGGAGTCATTTTGTTTGATGCACTCATCCGTCTTCGGTCCTCATCCGTTCTCATAAGCTTTAGGTCTCTTCGTGGACACATCCGCGTGCAAACCGCGTCAGCGCGACGTGTGTGGAGAGCGGAGGCTAAACAACGGATGGAGCTCGACGAAACGTCGCACCGATGCTGCCTTTTTCCATCCCTTCATCGACGTACACCCATGCTGCTGCTTAATACTATTAAGGAATAATAAATACACACACAGAAAGACCACCCATTCGAGATATACCCACAGTCGAACGGGATGTGGTGGAGTCTTGTCAGTGAGTGCAGGAAAACCGGCTGGGTACTGGACTTATTTCGAGTCTTTTAAAGTCTATACACTGACGAGTTATATCAGTGATGCCAGCTGGTGCTTAAGTACAAAAGCATCTGTATAGGTAACTTATACTATGTACATGGACCTGCTGTGATGACAGTAACTTTTCTGGGAGGTTCCGAGGGTCATGTTCACAGCAGTTTTGTTGCCGTCGCCATGCAACAAAGAGCAAGAAACATGATCGCTTCTTCCGACGATATGATGCGGATGCACGTATGAGGAGGCACTGTCTAAAAACTCACCGCAGAGACGTTGAGGTGGACAGCGCCTTCGATGACATCTCCAGCATAGCAGGCCCCTTGCCGAGTGGAAATGGTGATGTCGATGCCCATGGTGTGTACTGAGTACCACCGACCGTACGTCGCTCCTGTAGATAGGGTTGGGAATGAGAACGAAATTTTTGGAAATTTTTGGAAATTTCAATGACACATACAATGTAGACTGAATAGGTTGCCTTCTGACATACGCGATAGGTAAAAGATATCCTTGCCGCCGACCACATATGCACGAGAGAAAATAACCTCCTAGGTAGCCATCGCTCAGGTTCTGTGTGCCACCGCACGCTAGGCAAACAGCCAAAGAACAAGGAGAGGGCGGAGAGGCGGGAAGACATTCCACATGGTAAATGTTGAAGAGCTGCACGAGCAAAGGGCTACGGCTCCGACCGCTACGCCAACGCCAACGCCAACGCCAACAACTCAAGCCTCAACAACATCGACGCCAACTCCACGTGGATATGTACCTTTCGAGGTGCTGTAGAAACGCGATGTAGAGTGCACAAGGTTGTAGGGATGTTCGGCGGAGTACACCACCCAAGCACACAAGCACACATTCAAGGTTGCTCACCAGCAGCACCACCGCAGATCTCCGAACATAATGTCAGATCTCCCAAAAGGAGCTCCGTGTATCGATACCACATACCCATCTGATTCGCAATGGCTGGCGTGCCCCGAGGAACGTGCTGTGTGGGGCCTGGTGGGCTCAGCTCGCCAGCCCCGGTTGTTCGCCTAATCCCATCGGTCAAGGTGAGACAGATTGTCCTGGCTGACGCTGCAAGCTGTTGTGCCAGCGAGCGTGGCCGGAAAGCTTTGGGCGGAGTGCAGGATTTTTTTGTCTGATGCCCAGATGCTTGAGTGGGTGTCACGTTAGTGCGGTGCTGAGCGTGTTTTGCTTTCTATGGTGAGAGAGGCAGCAGCCGGTCGGCTCTCGTGGGAGGCCATCTTCATGATAAGAGTGAGCTTGCGTGTGTTAGCTTTCTGTCCTTTTGCCATAGCCATGCGAGCGCCAAATTGGACTGACTGGCGAGCAAAACGGGCATCAGGACCAAGAAGAGGTAAGGTGTGGATGGAGGAGGCGCAACAACCTCCCTATGGGAGCAGCGGAAGGGAGAGAGGCGATCCATGAGGCGCACGCATTGCCAGCCCCCTGAGGCTTGTCTCCTCCGCCTTTTGCTTCTAACATTAGCTAGTTTCTCCCGTTTGCTCTTCACATGCCTGCGGGTGGCGTTGTTCAATCTACCGGGCATTGACAAGTCTGGTCGTCTGCTGTATGTTGTACGAAGCACAAAAATAATAATAGGGTTTCTGAAAGGGTGTGCAGCAAGCCCCTTATTTGCTGCTGTCCTGTGGCGTTCGTTGAATGCATAGTCGGCGGCACTGTCAGCGAGAGACTTTCTCGCTGTCGGCAGTGGCTTTGTGGTCGTGGTTGTAGGACTCCTTCCGTCTTTGTTGGCCAAACCTGCATGCATCACATGTCCCCTGTTAACAAATTCAACGGCACACCAGCGGTACTTTGCCCGTCGGATGGAAGTCGTGATTCCACCGCTGGGTGCCGATGTAGTGTGTGCATGGACAACGAAAGTGTAGGGAAGGAGATGCTACGTTATTCGCTGCCGTGGCTGACTTTATATTTCTAGCTGGAAAGAGAGTGCAGACGAATCGAGAGGTGCAAGAACGAACCTACGAGGTAGAGACTTGGAAAAAACACAAGCCAGAAAATATGCCAAGTACAACGCTGAAATCTTCAAACTAATGTTCTTGGCTGAAGTTTCCCTGCCTGCCTCCTTTTTCAGCCATGCAGTCTGAACTTACAATGTCAAGGGCGTCATCCACCACGCCGGTCTGTTGCCAAATATCTCAATCGGTCGTCCAACTTGCCCCTTTATGTCTTGTGGGGGGCGTCCGCAGATGGTGAACGTTCCCAAGGAGAGGAGGACCTACTGCAAGGACAAGAGGTGCAACAAGCACACGGTGCACAAGGTCACCCAGTACAAGTCCGGCAAAGCCTCCAACTTCGCCCAGGTAACGTCGGCGCCACGAAATCACGCAACACATGTCATATCTCTGCAAGTTGACGGGGATCGAATGGCAGACTGCTGTGACTCGCCTTGCTGTCTACGAAGTTTCATTTTTCTTTTGTTGCCGGCTTCAAGCAGTCCCCCTCCATGCCCTGGTGTATCGTAAACTATGTACAACGCCAGGTGTGGAAGTAGCATTCAGTTTGGGTGGAATTGAAAACACGCCAACATCACTATTTAGTGGGCAGTACGCCGAGGGACTGCTGTTTCTGGCGCAAAAAAAACAAGAAGCTGTTGGCCAGGGGTTAGTGGGGGTAGAAGCGGTTGTCGACCTACAATGGCGATGCGTTTGTCTACCAGCAGAAGCTACGTTTGCAGCGGTTGTATTATTTCGCTGGTGCTGATCATGAGGGGTGCCATTTTCTGGGAGGGCATCTCCCTCGAAGCAGGTGCCGGGTTATGCGGGCATGTTCAACCCCTTGTATTCTGAGGTGTCATTTATCGCGATTTTGCAGCAAACCCTTGTTGAAAAATAAACGGCATGTGCACCACCTTACCTCTGTCCTTGACTGACCCTTCCCACCGTGTCCACTGTTCTTTCCACGGCCTTTCGGAACCCGACTTGTGCGCTGGCGACAGGGTAAGCGTCGGTATGACCACAAGCAGAGGGGTTTCGGTGGACAGACCAAGCCCATCTTCCACAAGAAGGTGAGGTCTCGAGACTAGAGTACCCCCCAACCCCCTTTATCTCTAAGCTCAGAGGGTTTGTCGGAGTGCCAAACCTGCTTTCGGCGTGCGCATGAGACCGGGGTGTGTGCGCGCGCGCTGGTACTCTGCTGTGCATTTAGGACAAAAAATATTTGCTGGGGCTTGTATTAATAAAGGGTTGGGGTGGATCGCTTTTGTCAAGATACGACAGAGCACGTCAAGTGTAGAGCCGGCAACGTCCATCGCTCCGTGCGTAGCTGCTATGCTCGCATCGCTCCGTGTCCAGACCCTCGTCTTCCCGACTCTTGGATACAGAGAAGCGCATTGCCATTGGCGTTGGCCTCCCAGCTGGTGCCCTTCCTGACGACGGCGTTGGTTGTCGACCCCTTCTTCCCGACACTTCAGACCTCAATACGGCCACGTTTTTAGGGCTGTGGCTGCTGTGCACTGCTTTCCCGCGAACCTCCGGTTTCCTACTGCAGTCCCCGACCAACCCGTTTCGCGACCGCACCACGCCTGTTGTTGTTGTTGTCCGCCTGCCTGTTTTGTTGTGCAGGCCAAGACCACCAAGAAGGTGACCCTTCGGCTGGAGTGCAAGCTGTGCAAGGCCAAGAAGCAGCTCGTCATCGCCCGCTGCAAGCACTTCGAGCTCGGCGAGAAGAAGCAGGCCACCGGCCACCAGTACTGAGCAGCCCGACCTCTTTGTCGCCGAAATGCGAGTCGGACCGGAAGGGGGGGCTGGGGGGAGCGTGCCTTTTTTTGGAGGGGAGCGGGTTGTCGTTGTGTGTTGCTGGTGTTTTTTCGCTAGAACGTCGTCTTCGCGGCCGTGTGGGATCTGGCGCGGCTGATTCTTTTGCCGGGCTTTGAACCACCCACACGTGTCATGTGTTAGCGGTTACTACAACTCCCGCTGTTAATCCAAGGCACTTCCTCTTCGAGTCATTTTTTTGGTGGCGGCGTGGACGGGTACGGACACCTTCCATACCTTGGTGGCGTCTCTGCGAACGCAGGGCTGATTTCTACCGAAAGGCTCTCGGCGGGCGCCTCGAATTGCGCCGCCTGGTTGTGGCGACCGCAATTTTTGTCGCTCCCACGCCTCGTACCTTTGGTCACAAAATGTTGTCCGAGGACAAGAGTAGTAACAGTAGTGCACTTGCCGACCGGGGGACCCATCCCATGTGTTTTTGTCACTTGTGATGCCGCGCGGTCGCGATAGTACATGCCTTAATCTCCCTCCGGTGGCGATGTTACACACACGCCTTCATGCCTCCCATCACCCGGCTTACAGGCCACTAAAACGTACTACTGTAGCTGTCATGTCCTCTGCCTGCAACACGGGGCGCAAATTTTCACCGACTCGACAGCCTTGAACAAGCAGTGGGGGGCGCGACGACGGCGTCATGCTTGTCGGAGTTCGCTTCGCTTTTGCGCGTCTCGGCGCACCACATCCGTGCTGCGCTAGAAACAGTAACGAATATCTTCGTTGCCTCGGAGGGTGTGGGGTTATTTAGTTGCTTTGTTGATGAAAGGAACTGTGAAAATTGGATAGACGTTGGGGAGACTGGCCTTTATGAACAGTGACCCTCCACACAACCCCTCGATGATCTCCGTTTTTATTTGTTTCTACTTTTGCAGCGCTGTCACTCTTCTCGCAACAAAAATGTTCCTTGATCTTACAGGGTCGTCCTTTTCCTCTGAAGGCAGCTCTGACGCACCGTCATACATAGCGTGGCTCCTCCTGCGCATACGGCTGTCAGCCTTCGATTTTTTTATTGTTGAACACCCGCGCGCAGAGGAGCCGCAGGAAGTCACTGAAGGTGAATCCGTACGCACCACCTCCAACCAACTGTCGCTTCCACCACTTCAACTTAACTGTACAACATGTGCGGCGGAACCTACTCAGCATCCTCAAAACATGCAACATTTCACGGGGTATCACCATCACCAAAATACGAAAACGCCGAAACGCGCAGTACTGTTGATATCTAGCATGTGTAACCGATCACAGCCAAGGCTTCGTAAGCGATGTAGAACGAAGAGCCTGGCTGCCAAACAAATCTCCACGAATAGTCTGGAATGGCGTCATTGCCGAAGACTAGACCTACTCTCAGCCTCTAAACTGCTGCGTACTGAACTAACGAATGGCGCTAGAGCCACCAAATAACTCGTCCCTCGCCGGTAAAACCTGGAATCCCCTGGACATCTAGACTAGACTGCACCGATCAAAACTTGAAGCCTCGCGACCAGAACACCAGTGGACGAGTTTTTCAAAATGCGCGTTCACAAAAAATAGCGAAGGGGGGTAGGCCCCCGACCTCAACTCAAGCCTTATTATTTTTACCACACAGGCGGCTTCGCAAGCGCAAGATGGACAAACCGCACATTCCCTCAACTGTCTCTTGCCGCTAGCTGCTAGCGCCCGGCACCAACGCCGCCAGCGGTGCTGCAGCACCGGGAACTAAGGCCCTCAACCGCACTCGAAAGCTATACGCTTTGCCCGCCGGCACCGTGTACTCTCGGTGAACCACGTCCGGGTACCAAGAGTTGTCTCCCCCCACCCCCATTGACCGGTGGTCGAGGTGCACGAACACCGGGTCTTCGCTGGACGTCCTCGGGGCAAGATCGACCGTTCGCTTAGCCTTGTGGAGCTCCGCCGCGCTGTGCAGGCTCACGCTCGCGGCCTGGCGGGGCGGGGAGGAGGGGGAGGGGGACGGGGGGGGGGGGGGGGGACCCCCGGAATTTTCTGGCGGAATCCTTTTATTAAAAAACCCCCCTCCCTGGAAAGGCGGAAAGGAGGGAAATTCCGGGGTTTCCCCGGCAAAGGTTCCCCCCCCAAAGACCAAACCAAAAAAGTGGTCGGCCTCCTTTTGGTTTTGGGGGCCCAAACAAAAACCCCCTGGGGTGGGGGGGGCTCCCGGGTAAACCAAAGTTTTTTTTTTGGGGGGCCCAAAAAACTTTTAGCCCCCGGGGGGGGGGGGGGGGGGGGGGGGGATTTTTTGGCAACCCCGGCGGGGGGGGGCCCGGGGGCACCCCC